CGACCGCATAGAACAAATGAGGCAACATTTTTGGCAGCGCTGGTCGAAGGAGTATGTTTCTGAGCTTCAGACTCGCACCAAGTGGAAGATCCACCAAGCTGACATCGCACTAAACACTCTAGTGCTCATCAAAGAGGAGAACTTACCACCTCTCAAATGGCGATTGGGCCGCGTCGTGCACACCTACCCTGGCAAGGACGGAGTATCACGAGTAGCAGATATCCTGACAACAGCTGGCATAGTACGACGCGCCACTTCGAAAATCTGTCCTCTCCCACTGCTGCCGCCGGAGATAGAAGACAGCAAGACGGTCAATCCTTAATATTTTGAAAGCCTGCTGCTTCCAAAGGCGGGGCCATGTTAACGCCATCTATCGGCGTTAATTAAAAGACGACAACCATCGTGAAGCTCGCGAGCGCGACGCGACGAACTTCACTCTCTCTCATTTTGTTACTCGCTTGTTAATCATATTCATATATACAATGTTAAATTCATTTCGCTATTAAACGTATTGAAAATCAATAATAAACGTATGTCATTGAAGAGCAACACCATTACGAAAGGATCCTGGCCTCAACAAACTCACCTCAATGAAAGCGACCAAGAAAGCATACAAAAAAAAAAAACATAGTTCTGTCGTTTCCATTTTTCCCGGCAATTTTGAATTTGGAACTGTTCTATATTCGAATGTGTTCAAATTTTGAGTCACAAAACAGTTGAAAGTATTAGGATTAATGCTATTGTTTAGTCACAGCGTCGATTGGAATCTGTCAGGTTACGTACGAAAATGTATTGTGTATTGAAAAGTGTATTAAGCTACGTGGTGAATATTTTGAAAAACAATAAAAAGTACTATAAGGTTCTATTTGTGTTTTTTTCTTCAAACAACAAAACTTAAAAAGCAAATTGCCTTTTTGAAAAGTAAAGAACTTTAAATACCCATCGAATCCATATCAAATTCATAGAACAAGAAAGAGATATAAATTATAACTGACCATAATTAAAAACAAGAACCTTTAGTCCATAAATCACTGGTCGATGAAATGTATATTGTCGGTAAACCCAACGGTACTTCCGTTTCTTGTCATCTTATTACGACAGAAATCTTCGCTCTGCAAATTATTTGCTTCCCTTACGCCCCTCCCACAAATCCGACTTCGTGAACTCTTCGTTCTTCGTTCAAGCAGTTCTACTCTGGAATGCATTTCCGCTTGAAGTCAGGATGTCCACTAACCGTTCCGTAAAAAGAAGGTACATGACCTCCTTCTCAATGATATGGCAGAATCATCCAGTCGATAATACATCAACCAATTTTCTTAAATTCATAGTGTACGAATATAACGTAGATATGTATGTTTGTGTATATGTAAATATATATATGTGTACAGTATTTATAGTATATATATATAAATGTTGTGTATGTATATATATATCTAAGTATGTAGTATTGTGTAGTTGAATAGTAATGCAACCTATGCGCGCCTACCACTAACGATTTCTACACCACCCAAAGATTAACTGGAAGAGAATGCCCTGGGCATTAAGTCCACCGTTGTACAAGAGTGCATAAAGTTTTGTAAATAAAAAAAAAGTATGAAAATATATATAACGTATTTAATTAAAAAAGTATATCCGATGTGACGAATTTTTTATTTTATTTTTGAAATGAAAGAAAGGAGCTTTGAACGACTTAAGAAACAGAAAATGATTATTTTTAAACTTCTCGTCACGGTTTATCATTGAATGCTTAGTGCGATCTCTATAAAAACATTGGGATCCATCCAATCAATTTTTATACACCGCTTCATCTTGTGACGTAGAAACGAGAGCATTGACTTCTGGAAAAGCCATCAAAGCTACTCCCACGGTTCCAGAAAGCCTTTGTTATCAATCTAAGTAATAGCAAACGTTTACGTTTTGATTTAGGAAATCTGAACACCAAAAATATTTATTGCTCTGAAAAATAAATTCACTTGAGTGACTTTAGTGTAGCCACATTAAAGTCACGCAAGTGAATTTAATAATATTCTATAAATGCCAATATCTGGACCTATACTAATAATATTTCTCATAATAATATTTCTTACACATCTCACACACAGCCGTCTGATCCCAAATTAGGCAGAGTCTGTACTATGGTAACCAGACTACTGATAAACATACTTATATATTTCTTAATACATACATATTATAGATAAAGTACACCCAGACACAGAACAAATGACTGTGATCATCACACAATACTTGTCCTGGGTGGAAAACGAACCCACGACTTCCGGCCTATCAGTCAGGGTTACTAACCACTAGACCAACAGGCCCGTCAACTGAGTACTCGTATATCTTTATTTAAAATTATTAAAAAATAAAGTTTAAGGATATATAATGTTGATGATATGATGCTTTGATACCTTTTTGTAATTTATTAATTAACTAAATAAATAAATTAAATAAATTAAAATTAACACTCAACGCCATCTAGTCCGAAATTAAACGGAGCTTGTACCATGGGTACTTAAAACTGATATAAATACATATACTCATACATTTTTTATGTAAATACATACGTCATACATATTATGATACATAGAAACACCCAGACCAAACCAAACATTAAATGTTCAAACACACAAGTGTTTGCCTTGAGCAGGAATCAAACCAGCGACCTTGTGCGTAGCAGTCCGTTACACAAGCCACTACGCCATCCTGCCGTCATTGCAATTATTATCGTTATTAGTATTGGTTTACATATAAATCATAATAAAATAAAAATGTGGACGGGCTTATGACAGGTTCATATTAGTGTGTGTAGTCTTATTTATGAGTGTGACGTCGGAAGCCGAGCAGCCACAGGCAAATAAAAACCGGACAAGAGTGAGTCTGACTCGTGCAATTAGGTTGGTGTACAAACTTGTGTAAAAATATGTAATCTATTCTATTTGAGTTACAATGTCACCTGGACTTGCTCAAGCTATTGCTTACTTTCTCCTGTCTATCCGTATGGCTTTATATATATCTATCTAATGCCTTTTCTGCCAGTGTCTGCCCTTCTTATCTACCTTTCCTTGCAATACTTTCATTTTATTTCACCCAATCCTTAAAGAGCCTGGGCGACAGCAATTGGTTTGTGGGACACAAAGTTATGGTTTAGAAAATATGGCCATTGCATACATCTTCGCCTACCGTAGCATACATATTATTATGTTAGGTAGATAGATAGATATATCTTGTAATATTGTATTTACTGCATTTAAAACCAACAAAAGGATTAAACCTTAGTTCATTAAACAAGAAATCGCGTTATTTATTACAGATTATTATGAGGTCGTAGGGCTTATGGGACCGAGCCAGCGCTCCCGGATTCTATTTATAAATACAATAATTTATTTTTGAGTAGTATTTCGGGACCACAAATAAAACAAACAAAGTTATGTCTTGGAAAAGTACGGTCAACCAAAAAATTTACTTTACTGAAGGTTAGTTATTCAGTTACTATATACATATATATATATAGGTAATAGTGATCAGATTGTTTTTAAAATATGTACAAGAAGAGATCCACTTGAGGCCGTTGAATACTAGGTCTGTGAACTTTTGGTATTACGAGTATTAGTGATTGTCGGTTTAAATATGTTGTACATTTGTACGCATATTTCTACCGCAAATAGATCATGTGAATTTAATGCAAATATTGAAGTTATAACAGTACCACCAGTTTTAGTAAAAAGGGAAATAAAAACAGATACAAATTCATTCTTATATTCAAAATAAATGAAAATCAAAATAAAAATTCTTTAAACAAAAGATATTCATATCATTTCTCAATGTATTGGCCAATATTATTGCAAATTCATAATTTCTATTAGTTACTGCATGCCTATTTACAAGATTATCGTCTGTAAACATATTCATATGTGTACGCTGCTGGCAGTGGATACGCGGAAGCCAAAGGTGCATAATTTGGTAAACTGTATTCTCCGAAAGCATAGGCTGCTAAGTCTGCTCGGGGATACGCAGCGGAGTAAGGAGCAGCTAAGGGCGTTGCGACCGCACTCGACAGTATCGGTTGAGCGTATGCGGGGCTATATGCTGGGCTATACGCTGGACTGTATGCTGGGCTGTATGCAGGGAATACGGGCAGTGGCGGTATATACGGCTCAGCAGAAACTGCTGCGATAAAAGCCAACATTGTTATCTGAAAAGTTTTTAGTAAATGTTTAATAATACTTTTAATGAAACATAGTAGGGTATTAAATGTTGTGTTATATAATATTAAAAGTACTTAAAGCTAGTTCCCCATAAGCAATACGACTATGATTTTTCATTTGCTTCACATCATCACATCACATCAACAGCCTGTAAAAGTCCACTGCTGGCCTCTCCTACATAGGCCTCTCCTTAGAAAGGAGGTTTTGGCCTACTATACCACGCTGGCCAGACGGGTTGGTATAGGGTTTGTTTCAAGTTTTCCTTCTCTTTGCAGTGTTGTCTTGCGTAGTTTTCTCCTTTAGTCGACTTTTACGACACCCACGGGATGAATAATAAGCATGTTTAACATACAATAATAAATATTCCCTAAAACAGTAAAAAAATAGTTACCAAAAACATTTTCGTCATTGTAAAATATCACGTATTTACAAATCACTTATTAAGTTTGACAGTTCAATTTGCACTGCCTGACATGAAATGGTTTTACCTTATATATATCTGTATATGGCCATGTTTGATGACAAATATGGAACCAAATGAATATTTGTATTTATGAAATTATTCTTTCAATGTTTCTCCAAGGCCTTGTCGAATGGTTTTTACAGAAACAAAAGAATATATAATCTATGGCTTAGGAGTATAAAGACAGAAATTTACGTTCCGAAATTGTCATTGCATTGTCTTTTAAAGAAGGTAGCCTATCAAAATACAAAGGAACATGAATATATTAAAAGTCTGCAGGCACTAGGAACTTCTTAAATTATTTTATTTTTTCTCTCTTTGGGATAATTACAGCTAGGTTTTTAAAAACATAAGCACAAAACATGAACATCTGATGGCCACTTACAAATATCCCCGATTAGAAATACACGCATAACATTGAAATATGAACCGTAAAATAATCCTAATTGTCATACATATTATTATATTAGTACTATATTAGACAATATTACTATTAATATATTAATATACTTTAATAGACTTTTAGTCATACATGTCGTCTTTCATATTTAAAGACGCCCACCATCCCCCGGAAGAGGAATCAATTTAAATATTTTCAATTTTAAATTATATTGTTTTCTTACTCCGCCGCATACCTGGTGTCATAATCCTGTGCACGCCGCTGCTATGACTGGCAGCTCTTTTAAGATTTTAGCTATGATCAGGTCATAACCAGGAGCTTTGTGAACATCGAGTTTCTTGATGGCTCGAATTACTTCCCATTTGGCGATCTCCTTAATGGGCAGGTCCATTTGGTGTGGTTGGGTGATTAAATTCCAAACTTTATTTAAATTCGAGGTTCCGCAGTCGTCATTTGTAGTAAATACTTCTGATAGATGATTCGCAAATACTTAGGCTTTGTCCTTGTCACTTTTTGCCCAGGTACCATTTTGTTTTTTAATAGGTGATTGGTGAACAGTAGGTCTCTTTAATTTTTTCGTAGCTTTTCTTTAATTCTATGTCGGTTGGTTTCTGCATTGCAAGTAATTTTCTTATCTTCTTAATTAGTTTCTTAAGTTTGGTTTTCGATATTTTGGTGTCTGCCAACTTTGGTGTTTTCTAACCTCACGTTTCTCTTTTACCAAGTCCAACGTCGCCTTGGGGTAGCTGTCAATATTCTAGGTTTTCCCAATTTTTGTTTGGGTTTAAAATTTTTATAACACGATTCAGGATGTTGCAAGGGCCGCCCCTTGCAACATCCTGAATCGTGTTATAAAAATTTTTCACGGTATCGACCACATCCTCGTCTGATTGTAGGGGTATTTTCAATGAGTATACGAAAATATGATCACTTAGTTTTGGTATTATGCAGTCTGCAGATCTTTCTTTTCTATGTTTTCCACCGAGAAGTTGACTTGTGCTATTACTGGCGAATGATCAGAAGAAAGCAAAAAGCAAGAGCTGCACTTGATTGAAGAGGAAGGCAGCCCTTTACTAATGAATGTGAAAAAGAGTGAATACATGGTATTTGAGGCCAGTGGTAAAAGTCCAGAGGTTGTACTAGATATAACACTGGAGAGGCTGCCTCTAACTAGGGTGCAGCAGTTTAAATACCATGGTGTTCTGCTTACTACAAACCTTAAAGACGATGCAGCAATTGAGCGCGAACGTGGAGCATTGTCCGTAACAGTGAACTTGCTGGCACGCAGGTTTGCCAGATGCTCATAACAAGTGAAAATCGCATTGTTCCGTGCCTATTGTACATCGCTTTACACAAGCAGCTTGTGGGCGAGATATACTCAAACGGCGTACATCGCTCTGCGGATGCAGTTCAACAATGCGTTCAGGGCATTGTTGGGGCTGGCTCGTTTCTGAAGCGCATCAAGAATGTTTGCCGAAGCCAGAGTTTGCTGAAGCAAGGATTGCTTTTACTCCACAATTCGAAAGCGATGTGCTTCCTTGCTCTGCAGAGTGCGGGCCAGCCCCAATGATAGCTGCTAGGCTTGGCTCTACTTATATGAGCCACTGTTCCATGGTTCATGTAATGAGAAACTAGAAGTAACTACTATTCTTGTATTTGACTTTAGTATTTTTATCTTGTAGTTTTTTATCTTTTTTGCAAATGTGGAACAGTATATGCCCAAGATAATAAATATAAGACAATAAAGATAATAATAATAATTTTTAAAACCCTTCTTTTTTTGTTTAAGACATTTGACGTTTTTTACGTAATAATAATAATTAAGTAGTAGTGGTTTTGTAAATCAGTCACTGGGGTGTTGATATGATTTATAAATCACATGATTCATCACATTTGATTTTATTCGATCCTTAGTTTGAACTTGTAAACTGTTCAAATCTTTTCAGTCAAATACTGCAGTTTTTTGTTTTGATCGACTCTTTATCTTCGGAGGAATTATAATATTCATTAGTTTTTGTGTCAATCACCAACACTAACTTTGTGAAACGCTGGGACGTTTCCTTTGTGTATATTTACGAATATTCTTTTTTGTACAAATAATCAACCGAAAATGTCGACCACTTCACGTGAGGAACATACAAGAACATTCGATCGACGAAACCGGTGTATCAACTGTTCTATTGCGTAGATATGCCATAGAACTGGCGTCTAGTTCAATGATTACATGAATGTATTACAGTCATGGATAGCTCCTACACAGGTAAATGATGATGATGATCATCAAAGCTTATTTTCGCTACATCGACCATCGGGTGCTACTTCTTACTGCTGTTGGTACCTCACATTAAATATGTACAGGACTTCAGCATTACAAGTCCTTTAGCAAATGTTGGACGTGAGGCCGCAATTTAGCTTTTAAAACGATGTTACAAAGTTTTTTGTTTTTCACTTTTTCTATTTAAGTCTGTATTTCTACCACCTACTTATATAAATAGGGACGACGTGAGGAAAATAGGTGATAGAATGCAGCGGATAGATACTGCCCAAGACCGTGAGGAATAGCGCTCTTTGGGGGAGGCTCTTATTCAGCAGTGGATGGAAATATCTTGATGACTTGCATAATCACGAGGTTAAATTGAAAATCTATTTCATTTCCACTCTGTCTGTTTCTTACACCTGTTTTTTTTTTTTTGGTTTATGCGAATAAACCGAAACAATGCCTGAGCTCAAATCAGAGCCATGAAAATTTTCATGAAAAGAGTAATGGCTTGTCATCAGAGCCGTGGGGGCCACTTGCCGGATATTTTATTCCATACTTAATCGGAACATGTCTTCTTTACAATCCAATAAAAATATCACAATTTTTTCATAAAATACATGTTTTTTTTAATGAAAAAGTGTACTCTTACTCAGACACCCTTTAATAGCAATAGTTCCTTCCAGTCTGTTTGAAGTCGGTGCCAAGCCCAATGCATGATAAGTAATACTGGTCTATATCACCTTTATATTAGCACAATAAAAAATTAAGAATTCAATATCATTCTAATGGCACATCGCAGATTTTGTTAATTAATAAAGACCAACCAGATCAATTACGTGCTCAAACTTATCAAATATTTTTATTCATCAAATAAGTTTTTTGTTAAAAAAAAACAACGCCCGCACTAGGAATATATCCTGTTTTAGGTTCTGGTCAATTATATAGTACATTATGCGTAGAGGATTATTTATGGTCATTGTGTATTCCGTACGTGTGTGGGCGCATTAAGAATACGGAGTGTCACCACCCCTGTTCATCCCGTGGGTGTCGTAAGAGATGACTAAGGGAACAAACTGCGCAGGACAACAGCACTGCAAGGAGAAGGAAAACTAGAAACAAACCACACACCAACCAGCGTGGTATAGTAGGCCAAAACCTCCTTTCTAAGGAGAGGCCTATGTCCAGTGGTGGACATTTAAAGGCTGTTGATGATGATGATGATGTGTGTTCCCCTGAATTAGAAAAGAACTCGTACAGCTGTGTAAGATATATGATAGAACGAATATATATAGATGAAAGAACAAAATATTGTAATTAAAAGCTGAATTTCGATGGCTCCTCATTCCTTTGTTTTCCAAAAATGTATGAAAATAAAAACAACTTGATTATAATTACATAGTGACTGATAGAAGTATTTGGAGAAACAGATATCTTAGACTAATCCAAAAATTAGTAAATTAGTGAATTATAAGCATTATGCCTTGATTATTTGTTGGTTACTTAATTGATTATTTCATCATTGCTTTATGTAGCTCTATTTGATATTAGTCGCACAATTTGAAATGAAATATTCTACTATATATTCTACCACATTCACTAAGCAGAGAGAGAGAGCTGAGACTTTTTTTTTGTAAATACATACATACATATTATACATAGAAACACCCAGACTAAATCAAACATTAAATGTTTATGCACACAAATGTTTTACTTAAGCGGGAATCGAACCAGCAACCTTTGGAATAGCTGGGTGTTACACAAACCACTACGCCATCTGGTTGTCAATGAATTCATTTATTAATATTCAAGACTTCGTTGCAATATTATTACTATATCCACGTAACAAAAAGACTATTAGTCAGTTATGTTATCAACTAGCACACTTATAGTTTATTTTAATATCAAATTATAATAAATTTTAGATGACAACGTTTCAAAGGCATTGTAGACTTACATTCTTTTCCTGTAAATACAACACTCAACCTTACTTTATATATAAATATATATATATATATATATATAGAATCGAAATGCAATTAATTTCTACTTCTACTTTAGTCCATTGCCGTCCACTGGTAACGGAGGCCTTTATAAAAAAATATTATTTAATAATAATAATTAACTCATGAAAAATGTATTAATACATAAATTCATAATTATTGAACCTACTTCAATAAAGTGTGAGGTTTTCAATTAGTTTGTATCTTATTTTATGTTTGTTACCTCAGAATTCCGCCATTTATGAATCGATCTTGAAAACTTTGTTTTTTTTTATTCTTTAAAAACATATTATAATAGGTGGAAAATTAAGAACTGAAGAATACAGTTTATTACAATTAATCTCGACTGACAGCATATGCTATCATAGGACATGATGTGTCAAAACATAACATGTACAGGAAGCGTGGAAGTTGATAAAACTGTTTTCAGGTAAGCTTTTTGACTTACTTTACTGACTGTAGAACATAAAGTAAGTATTTCAAAAAACCTAAACGTTTCTGTTTTAGCTGTTTTTCAAAAATGGATTGAACCAAGTTATTCATTTTTTCATAGGGGATAATAAAAAAAGGAATAGCTGTAGCTAATGACTGTATCCATATATTATGATATATAAGTTGCTTAGCTAAAACTAGGCTTTAGAGTCGAATAAATAACCATCATATTCAGTTTTCTTCATATTTTAAATGTAGTATGAGTATGGTGCGGCGTAGGTGTAGGCAGAGTATGCGACCGGAGAGTATGCGCTGTATGCTGAGTATGCTACGGGGGCAGTGTAAGCAGCTGCCACTGGCGCGGTATATGCTGCAGCCACTGGAGCGCTGTAGCTGAATACTAATGGCTTCGCGGCGGCGAAAGCCAGAAGAGCGAAGAAGATCAGCTGTAAAGAAACAAATGAAACGCATTATTTTATTGTAATAAACTCAATATCCCTAATTTCAGAATCAAGAAGCTTTTTTACCGCGTAGTTCAATTAGTTGAATTTACTAAAAGAAATCAGCATCTGTGATCGAGAAATTATTCCACTGTGCAAACATCTTTAGGTTACAATGTTAAAGATAAGATAAAGATAAATTCATTTTGTTACATTGATGGTTGTCGATAAATGTATTACCTTTCACTAACTCAGAGCATCGGTTGAACTAATATATTTAGGTAAATCGGTTTTTAGTTTTAAGTATGTATCCTCTACCCAGAACCTCAACTTTGTACCAAAACATTAATAAATGTAAGAAAAATTACGAAAGTGCTTTTTAGAGACACATTGATAAATTTTGTTGCTTTGCAATTGTGATGAAAACGAAATGAAAGAAAGATATTAAAACGCAATTGTGAAAGTGTTTTTTCTTATTTGTACTTACATATATTTAAATTAGGAAAGGTTTAAGTTTCCAAAGTCTAGTATATTTATTTTTATAGGTAGGGTGTGTTGGCTCATCAAATTGTAGTAGGTAGAAGGGATATTACTATTAAGCAAGGTGAAAAACCATTAATTTTGGTGGGTACTATTTCCTTACGTACTTTCATTAATTTGCATGCGATATTTACTAATAAATTGTCATTATTAATTTATCTTAAAAATATTGAGTTAGTAAGTAAGTATTAACTTTAATAGGTTATTGCATTTTTAAACAATTTGTAGTCATTACTAAGATTGCATGTTTCGGATATTTTTTATGTTATTTATTTATTTTGATTTAATTTTGCACTAAAACTAGTAAGCGTTTCTATTTTCAGAAATATTATAATTATACACTTGAAGAAACCAAAACTGCCAAAATGTTAGGTTGTAAAAGCGTAAATCACATGAAATGTTGTTATTTTAAAAAGCGAGCAAAAGAAACTATTAATTTTATTATAAAACATGAGAAAAAAAATTGAGCAAAGTAATCGGAAATGTTTGTCTTAATCTGGTATTATTAGTTCAAGCTTTATAATATTAAACCTCGTGAGTTTTATAGTATACATAGTGTGCTAAAAAAAGAAAATCAAAGACTAAAGAACACTGAGTTGCTGTATTGCAGTTATAATTTGATTATAGATTTTTATCGTTAGTTAAAGAAGTAACAATATGCGTAAAAAAAATTGTCAAAATAAATAAACATAAGTTGTTTCTATTGGGTTTATTCTTAACAATCAGGTTGAAATGACTGGTACAGACTACTCTATTAAAAGTTACGGTTTTTAATAAAATCAGTAACGACAAGTAACTAAGATTTGGTAAATAACACAGGCTGATGAGTGTGACAACGTCTAATATTAAATGTTAGAGCCCCTAGCGAACTTCCAGAAAGCTAAAGGAGTGATATATTCAATAAGATTAGAATTAATAAAGGTACTTACGAATTTGAACATGTTGATTGTTTAGTTCCACAAGTACTGACTAATGGTTTGACGTTCTGGCTAATTTATAAGGATTCAATGATGACCTCTATTGTGTTGGCATCAGTTCGGCCCCTGCGCACCTTGGCGGGACGTGCGCAATTGAGACCTGTACGCGACTTGAATATTCTTGTTACACCTCAACTATTACAGGAAGATTTAAAATGAAGAAATAAATAAAAAAGGGATTAATGGATAGAAATCATTTATTTCAATATTTGTAAGTTAACTTGGGCAAGTGAATATTTAACTATAATTTAATGTACTTAAACATTTTTAACATAAATGGACCATTTACATGCATGTTGCGTTCGTAAAAGGCTGGCAGCATTGCGACGTTGAATGGCAATGCTAGTTCTCTCTGCGAGAAAAATGATTAAGTGATTTTATATTTTAATATCAATTTATTTTGAAATATTCTGTATAGAGTTTAAACAGCGTTTGACAGAGTAATTAAGTATAGTAAGCAGACCGTAATTAAATAAACTTGAAACAAACCCTATATCAACCCGTCTGGGCAGCGTTATTGCTGGCCAAAACCTCCTTTCTAAGGAGAGGTATACATCCAGCGGTGGACTACTAAAGGCTGTTGATGAAGATGACGACAATGATGCATAAATAAATTATATCCAGCCACAGAACAAATGATTGTGATCATCACCCAATTATTTGCCCTGGTTGGGAATTGAGCCAACGGCCTACGGCTTAGTATGGTCACTAACCACTAGACCTGTTTATGTTCTGAATAAACAATGATGAAGAAATGCTCATAACATTCTGCATTCTGTATTCGTCTTCTATTTACACGGCAAAATTTTCATCCTAATCACCTGGATAGTTGACGGTCCACTACTGTGCGCTTTACGAGACACTTTTTGCCCCGCACAACCAATCTGTGGAAGGGGTTATCGTCTGCGGTATTTCCAGACCGATACCACCTTCAAACCTTCAAGAAAAGAGTGTACTCTTTCCTAAAAGGCTGTCAACGCGTTTGTGACCTCCTGAGTTGCAGACGTTCATGGGCGGCGATGGTCACTTTCCATCAGGTGACCCGACTGCTCGTCTGCCCCCTCTAACATAAAAATATAATAATATATAATGTAATCAAATTACTAAGTTATACTGAATTGTTTATCCTAAGTTTCCTTAGTTAACATGTATACAATCATGTACATAACTACACTGCAAGTATTCGAAATTAAAATTTCTATTGTGTTACTTGAACTTAGTTTAATATTTCTATTAGTTATAAAAATATACATACTGTATTTTGGCAATAGCGTCATTGCAGCCTTATCAAAGCTCAAAGATCTGTCGTCATACGCGTAGAACATTCTATTCTTTGTAAAGTATGTAGGTACTCATGCGCAAGTCAAAGCGACATTATTGAGTGACCAGTAGGCGACATACGCGCATAATGATCAAGGCCACCATTATTACTAGCCTATTTTGGAACAACCTTGATCTTCACTATACACTACATACACTATACACTTAATAGGTATATATTAGTAGTACCGGTGCATTTTTTACAAGCAGGATGTAAAAGATCTGTTGTGCGATGTTCTTTGGGAAAATTACTAAGAGTTATTGGTCGAATTCCGAGCGTTAATCATCAAATTAAAATGTTTTGTAAGGCATGTACGAGTAGCTTCATGTGAATCATATTGATTAAACATTTTAGCTATTTATGCTCCTCCTACGAGTACAAATGTTATAAAATATAGAAATTTTAATCTAAATTTTGCACAAACCAGTCATAAGTTTTTCTAATATGATTTGCAGAAAACGTTTCGATATAAAGTTTTTGTGACGTCATAAAATTGCACTGTAAGCCCCTATAAGTGTTTTACATCGATAATATCAGATGAAAATTTATGCATTACCTAAAACTTAGGAATTATAGTCAAATTGGTCTAACGAAAGTTTGTTTAGATATATTTGTAAGCTGAATAAATTATGTAAGTTGCATACCTAATGTCAAGTACATTAGGTAGGATAGTTACATAATTTAAACAGCTCAATTTATACAGCCGGTCTAGATAGACCGGCTGTATAAATTATGTTATGTGTAGACTATTATTAAAGCATTATATTTATTAATCAATTTGTATTTTTTGCTTTACTAATGTAGATATACCAAGTAGGTTGGCATATTGCTGAGCACTCATATACAATTATAGCCAGGTCAGTCTGTGGATGGGTGGTGATTCTTAACATACTAAGGCCCCTCCGTGCCTCAGAGAGCACGTTAAGAAGTCCCGGTTGCTAAACGAACATCTCTAGCAATCGTTACGGATAGTTCATCATCATGGGGTGCCATCCTCAAAATGAAGTTTGGAGGTCAGCAGACGGTACACCTCTCGATCATGAGCGGCCTCCTTTAGTTGGCGATATTGCAGTCCGATCCAGGCCACGATGTCATCTATCCACTTCCTTCGTGGTCGACCTGGTGTCCTCCTGCCTAGTATTTTTCCTTCTAACAGAAGCCTCAGGAATTCATGTTGTACGGGTAGTTGGAGCCCTAAAAAGTAAGATATAAAATAGTTTTTCTACAGAGCTTCGATTATGCCTATTACTTGGGTTGTGGAGGTCTGATGCCAGTCGCGAAAAATCGAAGTTCAGCCGTGTCGTAGAAGATAAAAAGCCGAACTCAACTTTACTTAGGCTCGGAGGAATAAATTATTGTTGTTCTTATTTTTTCACGTCTTCTCATAGTGTGTCTTAAAGAAACTAAGTTTTCACCACATATAAGTTACATTCTTCAACATGTTTGGGTATAGCATTTTAATAAGAATGTAAATTTTAATAAAGGAGTAAAAACACTAAAGATAAGTTTTAGGAACGAAAAAACTCACTAAATGATTTAGTCATTGCTATCATTCAGGTATAGGTTTCCATATTGGACATCGCACAGCAATAACGCATTCGCACCATTATCATCATTTAACCACGAGACGTCCACTGTTGGATTGACTCCATGACTTTACAGAACACCGGTTGGAAACACTGACTAGTCGATACCATCGACCCGCGATCTTTTTGATGCCATCTATCTACTAGTCTAGTGATATAACTAACTATCTATATTATTTTGGTATTTACCATTTAGTCCACATTGACTAAAAAGTGAATTCACTCAGCGGCATACAGTAATGTATGTAGATAAAGTGCCTACATCCGTTTTGATTAAAATTCTGCATAACTTATCCAACATTCAGTATTTATATATGTAATTAAGTGGAATTTAATTAGTTTATTAAAATTAATTAAATAGTTACACGATCCTATATATTAACATACATATAGTTAATCCGCAACTTCAAATTTAACGTAAATCTTGGAAGTATTCATAGCTTTTTAGAACGCTACGGTTTTAAAATTTAGCACTGGTTTCGTTGCATATTACCATTTACGAGTTAAACATAAAATTCAAAAGAATCTCAAAATTAAAGAACCCTTAGCTCTTCAAAACCATAGTTGTACAACAGTATTCTAAGACCATATCTCTTACTTATCTTCGATTTAACGATTTATATAATTTACTTTGACTACAAATTAGTCATTCTTGTTTTTGGTCAATAATAGCTTTAGTATTGCGTGTATATAAATAAACACAAAATCATGCTTTGGTAAGTTCATTTAATCGCTTTAGAGTGGATAATGACGTCACGATGATACAATCTACACCCTATAAACAACCCCTATTATGTAACATACAATTTATGGATATCATACAATGCGTATTGTTTTAAACTGCGGTTATGCAACTACATATCATACATACTATTAAACTCAAAAATATTACTGGCACAAAAGTTGTGATCAGGTATTTGAAAATACGGATATGTTGAAACTTATCACACATCCTTTTAAATAAAAATCGACTCCAACAAACCTTAACATTGCAACTGCAAAATGTTTGAAAGCTTTTAACAGTTTTTTTTGCATAAAGTTCTTGAATGCTTCATCAGAAGTATTATATACTTCTTCTAATTCTGAATACTAATTCAGAAGTATTATTATTATCATAGAGTTAGGTACCACAAGTATACACAACCGTTGGGTACAAGGTCAGGTTTCGCTTCGATGAGTAGATAACTATAGCATTCGTAACAAATTACAAACAGTGAGAAGTAATATTACAGATCGATTTGAACTGCATTTTATTGTGTAGGGCCAAGAGTCGATATATATTTAAAAAATAATTGTGAAGTGGTTCTTTGTTACTATTCTCTAGTATCAGAAGTCATCTTTATCATCGTTTCTTTCTCTAACGTTAAGAAGAGGCACAAGCAAAGAAATGGTTAAAAAGGTTAACAAATATTGTTAAAACTTTTGCCTGCAGTCAGTATACGCATGAGAAATAAATACTGAAATGTTACAGTTTAAAACGTCGTAAACATATTTTATTTGGGTAGATTCTATCCGTCAATGAGTACAAGCTATTTTAAAAGTACGTGGCGGCAACAGGGGCAGTATAGGCAGCAGCAATAGGACCTGCATATGACGCTGCAACAGGACCGGTGTAAGCGGCTGTGTACGCGGCTGCGACAGGTGCAGTGTATGCAGCAGCAACGGGAGCCGTGTAGGCAGCTGCAAACGGTGCTGTGTATGCCAAAGGTGCTGGGTAGGCTACGGAGTGAATGCCAGGCTTAGCGGCCGTGATGGCGAGGAGGGCGGCGAATATTACCTACGACAGTACATCTAGTTTAAAAAATAATGTATTAAATGACGAAATATATATTACATTATTCACATACATCACCCATAAATATACAAATATGTACTAAAGTTGTAGTGAACTTGATTAAAATTGTAGTAAATGTGGGCAAAATGTGGTATCCCCACATATTGTCCACTACAATTTTGTCGCACTTATATTATATTATAGATAAATTACACCCAGTCACAGAACAAATATTCGTGTTCATCACACAATATTTGTCCAGAGTGGGAATCGAACCCATAACCTATGGATCGTTAACCACTTAACCAACAGTAATTTTTTATTTACTCATCCCATTTATACAAAAAATCGAATTAAAATTAAAATTTAATTACCAGCTTGTACATGTTGTATCTGTTTTGTTTGAGGTAAAATGAGTGAATGATACTATTGTCTTAAGGCCTTTCGTTTAAATAGTCCTGTTTGTAGTCAAGAAATTTCGAGACAATACGAGGGCTTGCAAACGTAATACATACATAAATACCTACTCGTATACTTTGCAACGTTGCTCCGAATTCAAGATAAACATCGAGGATGATATAACGCAAAACAGAACCAAGTATCAACAAGTTTAAAAAAAAAAGTCTCATAAAATTTATAAAAAGACGCATTGTTATGGTCCTAAACAAAAATGATGCCATGATGAAATTATTTGAAGCTAAAGAAACATTTTTCTAACTTTTTCTTGGTTCGTAAATGCTTGATTTATGACTGCATGATGCAGTCATATTAGTATTCAGGATGCGTAACGTCTATTGCGTCAGAGGTCAGTAAGCGCGTGTCTGCGCTTACAATACTGTATCTGGTTGCGACAAGCATGGAGGTCAATGTGCCTATTTAAACTGGACGACTTATACAGATTACTCATGATTATGTCTCGGTTCTATTATTGTTGGAAACGAGTAGTTTTTATAGTGGATCCCGTGCAATTCAGATAGCAATTACGACGTGACGTACTCTACTGTGTAAAGCTCTAACACTTACATTTATTATGTAGTTACATTACTATTGTAGTTCTAAAGAAATATCTTAATTTGAAAATTTGATTTCAATTAGACTTTAGAGTTTAGCGCTACAATAAAAGTTTATCTTTTTACCCGACTTATAAGGAAGGGTTGTAAATTTCTCTATTACCTCGAATCTTCCAACTGGCAATAGATAAATTTGCACTTTAGCAGCTATTTAGCTGGATGCAATTGACATTTAAGTGTCCTTAGATAGCTTTTTTAAGAAAAAACAAAAAAGCAGATTTTTGGCGCAAAATAGTTGTAGGTTAATAAAAAAAAAAACAACCAAACCTATCGAGTAGAATATCAAAATCAAGAAAATTAAAAGGTGATTACAAATATATAAATAAGTTATATATTTTAATTTCATCATCATAATCATCAACATGCCTTTAATGGTCCACTGCTGGACATAGGCCTCTCCTTAGAAAAGAGGTTTTGGCCTACTATACCACGCTGGCCAGACGGGTTGGTATAGGGCTTGCGTGGGGTGCTAGGCTAGAAAACCTCCCCGTGGTGCACCCTGGAAACGCTGGCGATGGTACTGTTTCCTCCTTGTCCTCTTGGAGGAGAGGATTATCGCCAGCGGCCAATATTCTAGCAGAAGAGGTAGCCGTTCATCGGCTCTCGGGCAAGGCCTGGTCCAGCAGGGTGGGCGTGTCTGCCGGTTGCCCTGCTGGCTCTTCGCTCTTCGGAGCATGGAGGAGGAAACCTCGGTAAAAACCGGATTGCGGGGCCCTGTAGGGGCCACAGTTTCTCCGTTGACAGCGGTGGAGAAAGGAGGACGGGCTCGGCGTGTACTGACACTACCACCGAGCAGGCAGGGGGACGTAGTCTCCCTGTCAACCGTCGGCATATCGTAATCCCGAGAAGAGCGCTGTGGTTAAGTCTCGCGGCTCTGATCGGGGGCGAGGGTCTTGGCTTAACCGCCCGGACCGCGAGGAAGATAACCTCTCTAAAAAATTCCCCGAATCCCGTGTTCTGGTGCGTGGCCAGGGGATGCATGGCTGATGGGAAGTTCAGTCTCGAGCGCACTCCAAGCCGAGGTACCTGCGGACCCCTCGGTTGGGTTAAAAACTTACGCTTGCCCGGGTAATGGGGGATCTATGCCCGGGTGGACCTTTAGTTCTCCCCCACTCGTGGGATTTATTATGGAGCATATCAATAAAAACATACAGAAACGGCAACAAACACAAAAACAGAAACAGGCAAGCAAAACGGACTCTGAAACGAAGGAGAAGAGGAAAAGTGGTTTGGATGGGTCATCCACGGAGGGTGAGATAGCGTCGGGAACGCCTATCTCGGTGGGGCTCCCAGAAGTCAGTCTGACGCTGGTCTCTGGGAGCCGAAGAGCATCAGATCGGCTGCGTTCCGGATCCGCCGTTTCGTCGGATGGCGCTGACGCCATGGAGGCGGAGCGAAGCGACAGCCGGAAACGCGGACGCTCCAGGGACGAAGAAACCGACACGTCCCAGGAGATGATGCCGCAGTTGTTAATATGCTGGACGGACGCCTGGCGGGCCTGGAGGCGAGACTGCCCCCTGCGCCGGTTGTGCGCCATGCCCCGCATTCGAGGTCGTCGGCCTCCAAGGAAGGAGGTCTACTGGTGGTCCCAGGAGCTGGCGGACCTCCATGCGGCCTGTACACGTGCCCGGAGGTTCTACACGCGCAGTCGGCGGCGTCACCGTGGAGACGGTGAGGAGGACCGGCTTCATGAGGAGTACCGACGGGCGCGGAAAACTCTGAAGCTGGCCATTAGCCGCGCCAAAGAAGAAAAGAGAAAGGAGATGCTGGAGGGTCTTAATCGTGACCCCTGGGGTCGCCCTTACCGCGCGGTGCGACAAAAGCTCCGCGCGTCGCCCCCCCCCCCCCCTTACGGAGACTCTCCAGCCCAGCTTCCTGCGAGAAGTGGTTGAGGGCCTTTTCCCACAACGAGCGGAACACACTCCCCCGTCGATGGCCTCCCTGGCCGGAGACGACGGGGAGCACGGGGAGGATAATGTTCCGCCCTTCCGGGATTCGGAGGTAGGGGCGGCTGTTCTACGGATCCGTTCCAAGAACACCGCCCCTGGGCCAGACGGGGTACCGGCCCGAGTGCTGGCCCTGGCCCTCAACCACATGGCAGACCGCCTCGGGGAGGTGTTCGACGCTAGCTTGGCGTCGGGACGCTTCCCTGAGTGCTGGAAGAGCGGGAAGCTGGTCCTATTGAGGAAGCCGGGACGGCCTGCCGATTCGGTCGCGGCCTATAGGCCCATCGTGCTGCTGGACGAGGCGGGCAAATTGTTTGAGAGGGTTCTTTCTGCCCGCATCGTCCGGCACCTCTGCGAGGTGGGCCCCGATCTGTCGGACGCCCAATTTGGTTTTCGGGCGGGGCGTTCGACAGTCGACGCCGTGTTGCGCCTGAGGGCCGTGACCGAAGAGGCCGTGAGCTGTGGCGGCGTGCTGTTGGCGGTGTCATTAGACATCGCCAACGCATTCAATAGTCTGCCATTCAGCTGCGTCAGGGAAGCACTCCACTATCATGGGGTGCCAAAGTACCTGAGGCGGCTAGTGGCAGACTATTTAGAGGAGCGTACCGTCGTGTACGAGGACCGAGAAGGTAATCTGAGGTGTCGGCCCATGTCGTGCGGTGTTCCACAGGGGTCTGTTCTTGGACCCCTCTTGTGGAACATAGGGTACGACTGGGCCCTTCGCGCCGATTTCCCCCCCGGGCTGGGTGTAATCTGTTACGCAGACGATACCCTGGTGACAGCCCGGGGAGCAAACTTCCAAGAGGCGGCGCGCCTGGCCACAGGGGGAGTCTCCCTGGTGGTCGGGCGCATTGAGGCGCTGGGCTTAGGGGTGGCCCTAGATAAGACGGAAGCCCTGTTATTTCATGGGCCCCGTCGTGGTCCACCCCCTGGCGCCTCAATCGTGGTCAACTCGGTCCTCGTACCGGTTCGGGCCCAGATTAAATATCTGGGCCTGATCCTCGACGGGAGGTGGCTCTTCGACGAACACTTCCGACAGCTTGCTCCAAAGCTGGTCGGCGCTGCGTCTGCCCTAGGGCGACTTTTGCCCAATATGGGTGGACCCAGCGTCGCGACAAGACGGCTGTACACGGGGGTTGTCCGGTCAATGGCACTGTACGGTGAACCGGTGTGGGCGGCGGCTCTGACCGCCCAGAAAAGGGTACGCCTCTGGCGCCCTCAGAGGGTAATGGCGGTCAGAGCCATACGCGGTTACCGCACCGTTTCGACGGAGGTGGCATGCGCGTTGGCCGGAACTCCCCCGTGGGATTTGGAGGCGGAAGTGCTCGCCGAAGTTTATCGGCGAGTGGCTGACTCCCGGGCGGAGAGCGGATTTCGCCCTCCGCCCGAGGATGTGCGCGAGTGGCCCGAAGCCACTCGCCGAGCCACGATGGCTCGTTGGTCGTTCCGGCTGGAGACTCCACGCGCTGGCTTCGCCGCCGTGGAGGCTCTCCAGCCGGTCATCGCCGAGGTGGGCAGGGCGGCAGCACGGGATCCTTTCCTTCCGGCTGACGCAGGTGCTTTCCGGGCACGGTTGCTTCGGAAAGTACCTGCACTCGGTCGCTAGGAGGGAACTGAGTCCCGCCTGCCACCACTGCGACTGCAGTGAGGACTCGGCCCAGCACACGCTGGCGGTCTGCCCCGCATGGGCGGCGCAGCGCCGGGCCCTCACTGCAGTCATCGGAGTGGATCTCTCGCTACCGGCCGTAGTACACTCCATGGCCGGTAGCGACAGTTGTTTTACCGCGGTCGCAACCTTCTGCGAGGTAGTAATCTCGCGGAAGGAGGCGGCGGAGAGGGCCCGGGAGGACGACCTCCACTCGGACCCGATCCGCCGCCGGCGAACCGGGCGGCGGAGGCCCGCCTATCACAGCCTCATGCCGCCCTGAGTGTGGCCGCGGGTGGACGGGGTGGGTTTCCCCTCCACCCGCATTAGTTTGGCCAGCCGCGAGGGGGCGGCGTCCGCGTGTGCCGGACGTCGCCTATAAAGAGAGGAAAAACATTGAGACGGAGCCCGGACCAGGAGCGGGCTGGCGCTAGGAGGGGTCCGGATGTCTTAACAACAGCTGTTCCCGGATCCCTCCTGTTACAGGCGCAGAGTGGCACACCGTGTGGTTTTAGTCGGTCCGAGTCCGACACACCACCCCGCCGCAAACCCCGGAGGGGTGACGGTCCGAGGGGATTTCCACACGATAAAAAAAAAAAAAAAGGGCTTGCGTCAAGTTTTCCTTCTCTCTGCAGTGCTCTGTTGTTTTCTCTCTTATTCGGCTCTTACGACACCGACGGGATGAATTAGAGGTGGTGAGAGTCTGTATTCTTAATCCGTCACCACACGGAATTTCATCATCATCATCATCATCAGCCTATCGCAGTCCACTGCTGGACATAGGCCTCTCCCATTGCACGCCACTTAGATCGATTTTGGGCTTTAATGAATAATAACTAATTGGTTTAAAAAGGTTTTGATAGCGTAAACACGGGCCATGTTTCCTTTTAGTGCATTACTTAAAAAAAATCTTTTTTGTAGTCGGGTTTTTGATTTTTTTAATTACTTGTTACTGTGCACTGTACTATACACTTACAAGTAAGTATTCAAAATGGTTCGCATGGCTGCGTGTGTACTGTTGATGCTAACAAACATATTAATATAATTTGTTAGCCACTTTTTTGCAGAAACATTGAAAATTACTGAATTGGCAGCATGCTTTTCAACTTGAAAACGATTGAAAGTTAATGTAGGAAAACATTCATAAGTTGGACTTAGGACTTTATTTCATTTTAACATTATCTTTAATTTATTTTCTTCCTTATAAAGTCGACGTTGCTTATACGCCGAATATTCAGGGTAAGGTTCAACAACTGCTGGCATTTTGTAATTAAGAGTCATCTCTACAACTATCATAGGTGAAATAAACCAAAGAAAATAGAGAGATAAAGAGGAGGTGTATTGCTGATTTTGTAGCTTAGGAAAATGAAAAAAAAAAAAACCAACGAGGAGATCGAATATGTTATTTTGAATAAGATCAGCAAATCTTATGAGATGATTAAACATCAACTTAAATATACCTTTTTTTTCTTTTTCAGTATTCTATATGTAAAAAAGGTACAAGGCTAATGATTCACGAAGGTATTTACACTAAGATTCTTAGTCAACGATTGTATAGACACAATAAGTGAATGTAAGTAGGTTCATTTGTCATGCTAATACGAGTACATCGCCATTACTTTGTTTTGTTTGCTAATGAACGTATAGTAATGAGACATCCAAATAAAAATCTTGTTCCATTAAAACTCAAATATCAACTAGATGTTACAAACGATCTATCAATCGTATTAATCAATTCTTCAACCTTTTTGTAATATTATATATATATCTATCTATTTATATAAAAATGTTAAGTTAGTTTGTGTACCCTTCAAAAACTCAAAAAGTTCAACACTGATTGAGCTCAATTTTTGTCACGATATACAACCCGCTTCAAAGATGGTTTTTATCTACTTTTCGCGTTAGTTTTGTTACTCATTGTGTTGCAGGGTACACCTAGTGTATTGTAAACTTTCAACTTTTTAAAGACAACCATAACCTTGTGATAAAATGCAAAACATTTTTATATAGCTTCGTCACATGAGTAGCAATGAAAATAAACATCACAATGTTATGTGCTACTAGGACAATAGCTGAACCCTACTCCTTACTATTTTCTATTACTTCCTTTTCTTACACGCGGGTCACGTGAAGAAACATCTATGGGCCGGACTCCATGCACATGATAAACCTAGCTATTACCACAAAATATAAATCTGACTGGTAACTTACTAACTTAATGAGTTTCCTGTTTAAGGATGATGATTTGCCGTGCGGTAAGTTGCGGCTGGTATTAGTCCGACCAATTCCTCGAATCACTTTCCATGACATATGGGATAGAGAATGCTGAGTGAAGCCAGATCTCTTCGTAACGCCAAGGGATCGAGCCGATCGGAGATGTTTTGGTTATCGACGATTCGAGTCGCTCTTCGTTGCTTTCAGCTCCTATTTTTTTTCGTTTCTTATTTTGCCCTGACGTTATCAAATTATATATTTTTGTATATATAAATTACATTGAAACAAAAATATTCTAACATGTATTACAGCTTCAGTGATGTGTATACGTGGCGTACTTATGCATGGTATGAAGATTACAACTTTTTCAACTTTTAGAATATTAAGGAACATTTTATAGATCCATAATTTACCGTTTTGCTGAAAAACGCAATATAACCATTTTTATAGCGTTTTTTTTCTTTGACCTTGAATAAAAAATCCAGGTACGGGATTGGGACTTTTCAGCATTCATTTATAATGGTGTTCCGAATATTCATACAATCATCAATTTTTAGGTCGATGCGAATTATTGTACCCTTGCATGTCTAAATTGACCGGACTATTTAACTTTTCAAAAATTTTAATAAAATTATATACCTGAGATTTTGCCGTAAGATTTTTAGAGATTTTTATATCTGCCAATTAACCATTCCTCTAAAGGACAATGTAGCTATGGACTAGTCAGTCTAATATGTACAGAAGAAGCCAAATTATATAAAACACCACTACACACTTTCTTATCGTAACAAATGTTCACGTATTAAAAGTTTATGAAGTTTGACACTTCATAACACTTAAACACATCACACGCTAAAAAGAATCAGCTTTTCAAATTGTCAAGTATTATCGTTATCAATTTCTGTGCTTTCCGAACTTTACCTTAAGTTCAAGCTCAAAGTGTAATACTTCAAATGGTTTCGGCTAATTTCTGTTATATGCAGTCGCCTGCGAGATGCTAATCTTTCTTAAGAATGTAATGGTTTTCAGGCGGGACAAAATTAAAGGAATAATGTAGATTAAGGTAACGATAGTGGATAGGGCAAAGGAGCTTACTTAAGAGATACCGTAAGTCCCAAAATGGCCAGAATTACATAACGGTATGTCCGTCCTGTTATTGGAAACACAGCTATGACAAGGATACAAACCGTCAACCAAGGATCTTTATAATGAAATTCCAAAATAATATATATCGATCATGTTTTATTACTTTTCAGGTATTTTCTTCAGGTAATTTGGTCATCAACGCAGTAAATAGGTAGAGTAAGGCGAGGCGTAGGTATAAGCGGAGTAAGCAGCTACGGGAGCGGTGTATGCGGAGTAGGCGAACGGCGCTGTGTAGGCGGCTGCGACGGGCGCTGTGTACGCCGCTGCCACGGGCGCTGTGTATGCACTGTAGAACACTCCAGGCTTGGGCTTGGGATCAGCAGCCACCAGCGCCAACATGCAAGCCAATACGAACTGCAGCAAAAAAAATAATAGTTTATAGTACTATTACAATTTTATTTGTTCATTTGATTGCGTAGTAACCCAAATGTTTATGTTTAAATTAACTTAGACTCACCAGTTTGAACATTTTGATTGTTTATTTACACTGAGCGACTGCTTAATGATATCAAAAGTGTACCCGCGGCTAACTTTATAGTAATTTGAGAAGGACAATTCATGGCACTGTAAATACATGTAAGGTTGTACGCATTTGAGATCGTGAACAGAATAACGACGTGTATGTTTCTGACCGAGACGGCCTTTGAAGAATGTATTGGATTATACTTTCCGTTTCATTGCTTGATTGATTAATTTATTTTCTTTCACGTACATAGGAGGATATTAAATCTTCTTTATAAGAATTATGTGGAAGTTAAAAGCTCGAATTTACATCTAACGGCTGTTTTTTGTTTATTTTTTGATGTCCGTGAGACAAAATCCAAAGAATGGTATCGGTGAGATAACTGTTAAGATTAAAGGGAAAATGGTGGTATGTCTTTTAACTGTAGTAAGTTTGTTTATATCAGAATTTTTCAAGGTATATTTAAATTATCGTATATGCTAACTTTTTTTAACACATTTAAATGCAGCATAAGGCACGCACGGTCTTTTTTGTCTAATTATTAAAATTGATGAAAAATATTAACATTTCAATAGGCAAATGTATTTTTTGGAAATAAATATTGTAATAATAATTCTTGAAATAAAAGTGTGTATTACGAGTAATATTACGACGCCTTCAAACTAACCGTCAATACAGTTATACTTTTTTCTGGAAAATCTATTAATGCGATAACTATATACGGATAATGTATTGTAGCTCCTTTTAAACTTTATTATTTTAATGGTCATTTTTCTATAAACTAAAAGATATAAATAAGTATAAACGTACTGGGATATATTTTTACAAATACGTTTACATAGAATCTAATATTTTATACAGAAATAAACTTTTTTTAATATTTTATAAAAAGACAACTTCCGCATAAGGAATATATCCTGTGTCGCGGGGGACTGTACAAACATACATGAAACGGATACAAAGAACAAGCAGACTCAGAACAACAATTTGTGGATCACACAAAGTGTTGTTCCATGTGGGGATCGGACCCACAATACGCAGCGCAGTAGTGAGCAGCGTGGCGACCGCTTAAACCACTACGCCATCCGTGCAGTCAAAGTCCGTAAACTGAACAATACATATGTGTAAAAATTAATGAATATTCACATATATTTTACAAGCTCTCCCGCCCATCTTTGTTTGTGTCTCTCAAACTGATTAAATTTTCCCCTCTCTTCTTCTTCTTTTTTCTGGCTCCTTGGTATTAAGTATCAAAGGGTAAATACATATTTAAACGGTATAATCCTCAGTGAGTTATCAGTTGGAAGTCTCAGTAGAAGCATATAAAATAACAAATCAGACTAGTCATGACTATAATAATAATGAAGATGTTTTATTTTATTTTTATTCAGACCGGCTTCCGTCCGGCTTTTAAAATGTCATATTAAGAGTTGAAAATATCATCATGAACGACTAACTAACGTATTTTTTATAACTAAGCTTTAACAAATTAAGGTATTTTAGTAGTCACTGCCAAATTGTTATAATTACAACATTTACTATGGAATTTTTACATGCATATTCTTTCTATAGCTTCTGTCTATCATATAATATAATTAACACAAACACTTATTCTGATCTGGAATAGACATGAGAATAAAATTACTCTGTGTTACGTCTGAATAATTTACCTATACAACGTTGGAAGTCTTGTTAAAGTCCGTTCAGCACTTGCACTATCATAGCTGACGAGCTGTATGTACATATTTATTATAGCAGTGTGAAACTCCTGCTTCGGGTTCGACTCCAAGGGTTATGCACTTATGCAGCGCACAATTATGGTTTAACAATTGAACAAAAAATACATTTAAAATACATTCACTATAAAAGGATAACATCGCAAATCTTTTGTAAAACCTTAGAGTACTTGACTAAAATGTGTAAGTGTTAGTCTAAGCGTTGGGCTTTTCGCTGTTTTCTTACTACTAGCATTCTTAGACCACTCATATCTTCTAAATGAATTTGTTTACGGATTTAACTTACTTTTAAATATATTAATTTTCCATAAAAAGGCTTTCTGTAGGTACTAGCTTTTCAAATTTTTTTAAGAAATATTTTAGTTTCTTAATAAAAACAGGCAATTGGAAACGTTTATATTTATAATATTAGTACAGATGAGTAAGATTGAAACTCGCTTGTAAACCAAAACTAAACCGTCTCATTAAAATATTAGATATTATTTGTATTTGCATTAACCATAGTAGGTGCCAAATAGAGACATCGTGTGTCTGTGTCTCATTGTTATTCAACGAAGCACACTACTGGCCAACAGCACTTTACCTCACACTGCACAATGTCCTTCGTCAATTACTATAAATTCACATGATAGTATGGCTTTAATATCATTCGGTTTGATAGCTGGACTTTGATAAGACTAATAAAAATGTTTAAACTAGTAAGTATTTTTAATTTATCGAAAAAATGATGTAGTAGTAGTTGTATCGTCATCAGCCTTTAGTAGTCCACCGCTGGACATTAGCCTCTTCTTAGAAAGGAAGTTCTGGCTTCTACTAAGCCAATTTTTATATGAAGTTTAACAAAAAATGTTTTTAATTGCAGTTCTTGCTCGCTTGCATATTGGCGCTGGTGGCTGCTGATCCCAAGCCCAAGCCGGGTGTGTTTTACAGTGCATACACAGCGCCTGTAGCAGCGGCGTACACCGCGCCTGTTGCGGCCGCCTACACAGCGCCGCTCGCCTACTCCGCGTACTCTGCTCCAATCGCCGCCTACTCCGCTTATCCCTATGCTGCCCCTTACTCCGCTTACCTGTTACGTTGATGACTACGCCATGAAGAGATATAAAAAGAGCTATAAATCTATTTGAAATCAAATACTGTACTTTAATTTAAACTTGACCAATACCTAGGTACTTTCAAATAACATTCTTGACACAAATTAAGCATTGCTTTTATAAACTTTTTTTGTATTTCTCCAGATAAAACATGAAGTTCCATAAAGACCAATATTTCGTTTTTACACATGTTTCCCCTGTTTCATACACCTTAGTATATGTTTTTCATAATCTTTTGCTGTGAAACCCTAACAGTTAAATTGGTAGATGGATTAGATTCTGATTATTTTGGGGAAACTTGTTTATGTTTTCACTGTTATCTGTGGAAACGATACCTGAAACTATTTAAAGAAATTAGAGTCTTTTATGTGCATCAATAAATGCTCACTAAATCATACTTTTAGTAAAAAGAAGTTACATTCGAAACGATATAGTTATACTCTTCCCAGTCATATAACATTCGTCAAGTTTATCACAAAAACTAAGACTTCTGTATCACAAATATGTTTTAAATTACTAATTCTAGATAGGCTAGATTTTATTTAAAAAGTAAAGTAGTTCAGCCTGTTAGCCTGTTTAACATTTATTATTCACTTTTTCATATATTTGTTTGGTAGCAGATGTCGGTAGAAGGTTGCAGATAGATAAGAATATGGCTGTAACCTAATGAAATGATTAATTAATGCTTTTAAGAGTAACTTTAATGATGATAATATAACTGTTACACCTTACCCACTTGCTTCCTCTCTATCGCCTTCGTGATTATTTGTCTGGCCATTTTGCAAAATTTATTGGTCTGCCCAATGTGTGACATTGCAAAGAGTTTTGGCTGGTTTATGGCCCTATGAATATTATTTTAATCGTTTTCAGGCGAGTAAAAAATAAGGTAACTTTTTCTAAAGAAAACGAACGAACGAAACGAACGACGAAACGACGAAAGATTCCTATCCATATCTGAATACGAGACTGTAGAAACAGTCTCGGATTAGGAAATAGGTCTAAGACTACAGTATCTCCAGGCTAGAGTCACATTCCCATATATCCGTCCTGGGAGTGATAACGCCAATAGTAGGGACACGAAAATTTGCTTTACATGAATAAGCATAAATATGACTTTTCTATCCATGTTCTGGAATAATTAGTAAAATTTGTTTTTAGTTTGTATCTAAACAGAAGCAGGCTGTTACAACTAAATAAAATATTGGTAGTTGCCATTGGCCGCACGCCGTCATCGCGGCGGTAAGACCCGTTATGGAGGATTGGCTCGAGAGGCGTCACGGGACCCTCTCATACCGACTGGTGCAGGTGACACGGGGGGGGGGGGAGGGGGTGGGTCGTCTACGTGTTGTAGATGGCCCGAGGTATGTCGGGGCACCAGGGACTTCCTTTCTAGGGTATACCTGGTTCCCCGGCTATTAGTACCCGAGACGGCGTGCGGTTTTAGTCGTTTCGAGTCCGACATGCCACCGATAGGTGGTATCCGAGGGTATTTCCGCACGGAAAAAAAAAGGTGCCATTGGCCATGATATCTACAGCAAACGTACAAATTTAATAAGTTTCGAATAATTGTTAGGGAGCTTGAAAATGAATATATGTATAAACATGAAATGTTAACACGAAGAAGCATATAAGTGGAGCACATCAAATTTTTGCTCGAATCCTAGCCACCTCTCTGTGGAAATATTTCTACTCTATAGTAGTCATCTCTTTATGTAAATTACGCTTAGACTTTAAATACATTTCTTATGAATTATTTTTGAATAATTTGGTCTTGGATCCTGATTTATGCATTTATGGTAGATATGGTAATAAAAGACAATTATTTTTTTTTTTTACTTTTTTTACTTTTCGTTAAAAATAAATCTGGCATTAAGAATATATCCTGCGACGCGGGAGACTTTACAAACATTTATGAAACAGACACAAAGAACGCAAAACGACAAACTGTAGATTATATGAAGTGCAGTGTACAACGCTCAACGCAGCGGTCATCGGCGAGGTGACCGCTTAAGCTACTAGGCTATCCGTGCAGTCAAGTTAATATTCTATTAGTAATCGTTTTTTCTTTTTTTAATTTTAATTTCAAGTCGAGGTTGTGAAGGTAGTTTGAGTATAGTGTGACATAGATAGATATAAAGGGAGGAGGCAGAGACTGGAGCGGCAGATGCAGAGGAGTGAGATCATGACAGATATTTATATTGTAGAAGGATTGCAAACTTGATTTGTATAATCTTGTATAATATCAAATTAAATATATTAGGTTGTAAGTTTAATGGGGGAGGCGTAGAGATTTTCAATACATGATGGTTCCAGTAGCTTGGCATAGCTTCTCCATTGTCGGCCTCTTGGTATGCAATACCTAACATTTTATAAATACATACTTTAGGAATCTAATTACAACAGTTTTCATATTTAGAGATGTAAGGATGTCAATATATCATATATTTATAACTATAGATTGAATGAAAAGCGGTGCATTTTATGTCAATTGAAATAAATTACAATAGAATGTCACAATAATTTAAGATTAAAACAAATAGACTAAGATAAAACATATTATGTACAGTCTTTTTCATTTAAAAATTCGTCCACTGTATAGTACGACTTTTGCAACAGAAATTGTGTAACCATAATTGTAACATTTATGAAACACGTAATTTCTATTAAGCGTTTAGGTGGATGGTTATAGACTCATGGCGCCATGCAAAACACGTTCCGATCCATCAAAGCACTTCTATGCTGAGTACAACATATTCGGAAATTGTGACGCTTACTTTTATACTTATCAAACATGTTTAGGTTACCTCTGACAAATAATAACAATTTGTAGACATACAGACAGGATACGGTTAGTATTATGAGTCTCTTGAAATACGGTTTACAGGTGTCAAATTGTTGGAGGTTGCACATTGCCTGACATGTCTCTCCTGAGCTTTAAATAATTGCTCTATTTCAGTTCAGTTACCCCAAAATATGATCCCAAACCTCAAGATCGAATCCACGTATCCGTGATATGCAGTTAATAACGCAAACGACTGGGTATTTCATTTTGCACAGAGGTATTCGCCATGTTCCTTCCAATTCAGGTTGCTATGTTTATGCCTAGAAATGTTGTTGTTCCTACTTCGTGAAGTTTTTCGCCTTTTTAAGTTAAATTCATGTCTGTTACTAGGGGAATTCTATTTTTAAATGTCATTAAAAGTGTTTTGTTTAGATTAATTTTTAAGTTATTTTCAGTTTAGTCAACCATTTTATTACAGTATTGAGAGTATTAAACACGTCAAGATAAGATGCGCTCAGATACATTACATCTTATGCCATACAGAAAGTCTATTAACTCTTTTTTTTAAGTATTTATTAACCATACTATTATACAAATTCAATTGTATGGATATAATAAAACTTTTATACAACCTAAACATTATATTTGGAAATATCAATTCAAAACGTCACACGTGAAAGTAAGGATTCCATTGGTATTCAACATACCCCGTGAACTGCGCTTTGCCTAACATTGAACACTGTCCTTCAGTAAGACTATAAAGTCGGACAATTACCCGTCTTGACATCATTCAGTTTAACAGCTGTACTGTGATAACACTAACTCAACATGTTCAAAATCGTAAGTATAATTTAATAAATATGCATGTATAAGGAATTGTTGTATGTACGTCTAGCAAATGTTTTTAGATAATTATTATTTAAAAAAAACAAACGATGTTTGTTTTGCAGTTCTTACTCGCTTGTGTGTTGGCACTGGTGGCAGCTGATCCCAAGCCCAAGGCTGGCGTGTTCTACAGCGCATACACAGCGCCCGTGGCAGCAGCTTACACCGCGCCCGTTGCAGCTGCCTACACAGCGCAGCTCGCCTACTCCGCGTACTCTGCTCCAATCGCCTCATACTCCGCTTATCCCTATGCCTCCCCTTACTCTACTTACCTGCTACGTTGATGACTTCGGAGTTACTAATGAATAATATGGAAACCAATAAATCAATTTAAAATCAGAAATGCTACTGCATTTTATTTCAAATTTCGATACTTCTAGTTTATTATTATTGAACTCAAACCATTCACCAAGTGGTGTTCTGTCACGTAATCCGTGATGGGATGAGAATAGTTTCCTTCTACTAAAATGCCTAATAGGCATACAAAACTTTTCTGCAGACCAAGGCAGCGGCATCTCATGCTCTCTGGCACTGGTTACCATGTCCAAAACCAAACCATGGTTAGTTAGCTTCTACTATGGGTTCTAGAATATGCACAAGTAACAGTATTAACGTAGAAACATCCAGATAGATGTTATTAGAAACTGTTTTCAGGAAACTCGATTGGAACAGACAGGGAATCAATATCTCTGCATGATCTGGAGATGCTTAGAAGTCTGGACAATTTTTCAAGCCGAGTGGGACTTGGGAAGAACATCGAAAAGACGAAAATCATGGATAACATAGGCTTTTATCCCCGAATAAGCCAACGCCTTCGTTCAGCAGTGGACGGCGATAGGTTGATGAGAGATGTAATAAGATATATTCTTGTATTAAAACATTCTACCATCAGGAATCAACTCATGGCCGTTGAAATGCATAACGCCTTATCATCACTACCGCCGCACCACATAAATTGTCAAAACCTATGATCTTGGTAATAGTGCAGTTAACAAGCTAAGAAACGGGTTAATTCTTGTTCCCGGACCTAAAAATATGTGCGATAGCTCATTTGATTCGGAATGATATCTAGAAAAAGATGTCTCGAGCATAAAAACATAAAATATTGCGATTGTTATTACGAAATAGGCTGAAAAAAAAGATATTCAGTTTTTTGTTAATAATTCAAAAACTATAAATATTTGAGATTTTTTTCAAAAGATCCTTAGTTTTAATAAGAAAGTCCGGACCTCCCGGAAATCTATCTCTATTGTTTATAATTTGCATTCAACGTCGAAAGTAGGTCTCCGCGCGGCCGTTACGGCATGAGCGCAACGCTGCTTGAGACTGTACGTTTATCACACAAAATAATTATTTTATAATACACAAGGTGTAAGGGACGTCGTACCGAATACTGAAATAATGTATGCAGACCATGATTCTGAGTCGAAAATCATTCAATTATTTTTGATCATTTTAAACCAGAAAAATGGAAAATTAAAAAAAATGAATTTACCGGCAGAAAATTCCAATGATACAGAATCATGGTCTGAATCTGAAATCTGAAAATCTGAATCTGCAATCTTACACCTTGTATATATATGTATATTTATAACATAATTTGAAAATATGATGGTGTCATCTGACATCCAACACTTGAAATAATAAAATCCCGCGATTTTTCAAAAAGTTATACGAATGTTAATAAACTAATTAAAAGATATATATATTTTTTTAATGTGCTATAAATGCTCAAGATACCTTTACCTAAACGTCATTTCGAACCGAATGACCTATAGCACATAGGATGGGCATCAAGTATTAACACGTTATTTAACTTATTGACTGGACTATAGATAAAAAGACTTGCCTTACGTTTTCAAATTTTTGTTAAAAACATTAAATACGTAAGGTACATCGGTAATTTATTCACAGTATTGCTGAAATCTATAATAAAGGTGTGCTAACTAGCTGATACCTGGGGCCCAAGGCACCGATACTAATAACTTATTTCTAGTAGAAGCATGAATTTGATTAATTACATTATTTGGACAGTTTGGACAGTTATGAGCTCAGTGTTACTTTACTTGATTGATAATAATATGTCATTTCTTATACCTATAATCTACAATCTCTAGTATAAATTAACACATGACATGAAAGTAGTTCTAACCTGATTTATGTAATGGTGCCGATTTAACGCAGGAAGTTGTACCTTTATCAATAGCGAATATCTACTGACTTATTGTTCTGTGAACAGTAAAAATCGTGCCAGAATTTTTCGATTGCAACGATGACAACTGACAATGACTGCACTTACTCGGTGATGCAGTGGTAGCGTATGCGGTTTCCGCGTCGAACCAAATGTTTGTATGATTTGCCAATATTTGTTTCGGAGTTTGGGTATTTTCTATGTATAATATGTATGTATTTACGAAAAAATATATATTTAAGTATTCTATCAGTCAATCTAGTTTTCATAGTACAAGCTCTGTTAAGTTTGAACTTAGATCATGTTGTGTGTCAGATGTCCTAAAATATTATTATTATTAATAATGACGAATTTAAAGGCGCAGAGTGTGTGTCCGAGGGGATTTCCACACGTAAACAAAGTTTAGAGTAATACATTTCAGGGTATTGATTTAAATAAAGTAGAATATTTGGTTTCATGTAGACTTATAAGCCATTATATTTTTCTTTAGTAAGTTCATGGTCATCAACGTAATAGATAAGCGGAGTAAGGGGCAGCATAGGGATAAGCGGAGTATGCGGCAATTGGAGCAGAGTAAGCGGAGTAGGCGAGCGGTGCTGTGTAGGCGGCCGCGACGGGTGCAGTGTATGCCGCTGCTACAGGCGCTGTGTATGCGCTGTAGAACACGCCAGGCTTGGGCTTGGGATCAGCAGCCACCAGCGCCAATACACAAGCGAGTAAGATCTAGAAAGAAAAAAAAAATTGATACATTTGCGTACATGATACGACAAAGACAAAATGATTTGCTGAATGTGAACACACAAAAATATTACTCACGAATTTGAACATGTTTGCTTAGTGTTATCACAGTACAGCTGTTAAACTGAATGATATCAAAACAGGCAAATTGTCCGACTTTATAGTGTTACTGAAGGACAGTGTTTAATGTGTGGTAAGACGCAGGTCGCTATAACGAGGTATGTTGAATACCAATAGAGTCCCTACTTTCGAGTTTGAAACTTTACAAATAAAATGCCATTTATGTATAAAATGATCACTTTTATAAATATAATTTATTTATTTAATTACTTTATGCACATAAGTACAATGGCGGACTTAATGCCATAGGCATTCTCTACCAGTCTACCTTAGGGTGATGTGGAAATGAGTGTGGAGGTGCACTACCCTTTGGTTGAGAATTATGAAGTGGACATAAAAGAAGTAATGTTAGCAATACTGTCTCGCACAGAAGGAGAAGAGAAAAAAAAATGAGAAAAAGCAATGAAATAATATAAAAATAACAACGTTTACATACAAGAATACATACATTCATATTCATATATATTGTGTTATATATATACACATACATATATACCAGAATATATAAAGTATCATATTTGTGATGATTCCCCTACATTCCGGTCAAGGAGAGCCCGCACCTTCGCCCTAAACGAATTACGACTGGTCGCCATTCTGATATCCTGGGGAAGAGCATTCCATAGAAGTAAAGATTGAGTGAGGAAGGAAGAATGAACACACGCAGAAGTGTGGGCAGGCCATAAGAGTAGAAGATTATTTGTAGAGCGAAGGGTTCTGTTATGATTGGAGCACAAGAACTGGAAGGAGGATGTCAAGTATGTAGGCGAGTTAGGAGAGTTGAGAATAGTGTAGAGAGTCGTTAGTGCCCGCAGGTGACGACGCTGACGAATTGGGAGCCAATTTAGTTTAAGACGAAAGGAGGAAATATGATCATATTTACGAAGATTAAAAATGAATCGAATGCAGTTATTAAGAAGACGGTTGACGGACGGACGGTATAATTGAATTTGCATAGTAATAATATATTGATAAATAAGAACGACACAACTTTTGGAGCGAATTAAAAATTATCCGTACCTAGGTATAAGTGTAGGAGGAGGGAGGAGAGGGAGGGTTAACATGAGAATGGCTGTAATTAGAACATCAAATTTCAGCTCGAATCATAGCCACCCGTAGTAGTCACCGCTTCAAAAAGATTACGATTATTAATAAAATACAATGTTATATCAGATGTAGTTTATTATTTTACAAGTATTTATTTTTGAGAATGCTCAGGTCTGAGACATAGGTGTAAAAGGCAGCAGACTTTGAATATTTTATTGATAAATAAATGCAAAGTTCATTTTATCTATGTGATCTTTATGGAACATATAAGTTTTGGAGAGAATTAAAGACTTGCCGTACCTAACTGTGTCGTTCTTTTTTATCAATATATTATTAAAATACAAATTAAATTAAATTTATAAAAGCGATAATTTTATACATAAACTAGCTGACCTGGCAAACGTTGTATTGCAAAACAAAAAAAAATTAGGGATGGGTCACCCTTACCATTTAGGGGTATGGAAAATAGATGTTGGCCGATTCTCAGACCTACTCGATGTGCACACAAAATTTCATGAGAATCGGTCAAGCCGTTTCGGAGGAGTACGGGAACGAACTTTGTGACACGAGAATTTTATATATAAGATGGCATTTTATTTGTAAAGCTTACAAACATCATTATCTCATATTTCACAGAGTAAACGTAGATACAAGATTTCAAACTCGAAAGTAGGGACTCTATTGGTATTCAACATACCTCGTTATAGCGACCTGCGTCTTACCACACATTGAACACTGTCCTTCAGTAACACTATAAAGTCGGACAATTTGCCTGTTTTGATATCATTCAGTTTAACAGCTGTACTGTGATAACACTAACCAAACATGTTCAAATTCGTAAGTAATATTTTTGTGTGTTCACATTCAGCAAATCATTTTGTCTTTGTCGTATCATGTACGCAAATGTATCAAATTATTTTTTTTCTTTCTAGATCTTACTCGCTTGTGTATTGGCGCTGGTGGCTGCTGATCCCAAGCCTAAGCCTGGCGTGTTCTACAGCGCATACACAGCGCCTGTAGCAGCGGCGTACACTGCACCCGTCGCGGCCGCCTACACAGCACCGCTTGCCTACTCCGCGTACTCTGCTCCGATTGCCGCATACTCCGCTTATCCCTATGCTGCCCCTTACTCCGCTTATCTATTGCGTTGATGACCATGCATTTACTAAAGAGAAATATAATGGCTTATAAGTCTACATGAAACCAAATATTCTACTTTATTTAAATCAATACCCTGAAATGTATTACTCTAAACTTTTTTTACGTGTGGAAATCCCCTCGGACACACACTCTGCGCCTTTAAATTCGTCATTATTAATAATAATGATATTTTAGGACATCTGACACACAACACCATCTAAGTTCAAACTAAGCAGACCTTGTACTATGAAAGCTAGATTGACTGATAGAATACTTAAATACATTTTTTTTCGTAAATACACACATATTATACATAGAAAACAAACAAACTCCGAAACAAATATTTGCAAATCATACAAACATTTGGCTCGACGCGGAAGTCGAACCCGAGACCTGAGCTTAGCAGCCGCATACGCTACCACTGCCTCACCGAGTGAGTGCAGTCATTGTCAGTTGTCATCGTTGCAATCGAAAAATTCTGGCATGATTTTTACTGTTCACAGAACAATAAGTCAGTAGATATTCGCTATTGATAAAGGTAAACTTCCTGCGTTAAATCGGCACCATTACATAAATCAGGTTCGAACTACTCCCCAAGTTGGTTGGGGCAGCGCGTGCGTTGGCGCGGCTGCTGCCCAACATGAAGGGACCCGATGACTCCTGCCGGAGACTCTACTCGGGGGTTGTGCGGTCCATGGCCCTTTACGGGTGCCCAGTATGGGCGGGGGCCCTGAAGGCCAGCAACGTCGCGATACTGCGGCGACCGCAGCGAATGCTGGCCATCAGGATCATAAGGGGGTACCGCACGATCTCCTTTGAGGCGGCGAGTCTCCTGGCCGGAACTCCACCGTGGGACCTGGAGGCGAGAGCCCTTGCAGCACTGTATCAATGGCGCAAGGAGGCGCAGGAGTTGGGTCGATGCCCCGAGATTCGAGAAATCGATGACCGGAAATCCCAACTCCGCCAGGTCATCATAGGGGAGTGGAGGGAACGACTCGGGCAACCGAGCGCCGGGCACGCCGTCATTGCGGCGGTAAGACCCGTTATGGAGGATTGGCTCGAGAGGCGTCACGGGACCCTCTCATACCGATTGACGCAGGTGATCACTGGGAAGGGATGTTTCGGAGATCACCTGTGTCTGATCCGCAAGGAGCCAACGCCTGAGTGCCACCACTGCGATGGCCAGACCGTGGACACGGCTCTCCACACGCTGGCAGAGTGCCCGGCGTGGGTTGAGCAGAGGCGAGACCTCGTGGCGGCCATCGGAGTGGGAGTTCTCTCGCTCGATAGCCTGATTGCGGCTATCGTGCGGAGCGAGAGTGCGTGGAACTCTGCCGTCTCCTTCTGCGAGCAAGTTATGCTCGCGAAGGAGACGGCGGAGCGGGACCGGGAGAGGTTTAGAACTCTCCCGGCCCGCCAGGCCCGGGCACGGGCCAGGCAGCGCAGGCGACTCAGGCGCCGGAGGTCGCAGAACGACCTCCGTCCTCCATAAGCGCAGGCCTGGGGGTGACAGGTGAGGCCATCTGTCACCCTAGCAGAAGCAGGCCGGGGTGGCGGCGAGCGCGTTGCGAAGCGCGCTCGCTTTCAGGGAGCACAGGGAACATGGGGTTCCCACACGGGGCGGGGGTCGTCGTCGATGACCCGAGGTATGTCGGGGCACCAGGGCCTTCCTTTCTAGGGTATACCTGGTTCCCCGGCTATTAGTACCCGGCGAAGGCGTGCGGTTTTAGTCGGTTCGAGTCCGACATGCCACCGACAGGTGGTATCCGAGGGGATTTCCGCACGGAAAAAAAAAAAAAAAAAAAAAAAAAAAAAAAAAAGGTTCGAACTACTTTCATGTCATGTGTCAATTTATACTAGAGATTGTAGATTATAGGTAGAAGAAATGACATATTATTAATCAAGTAAAGTAACTAAATCATCAGTAAGTAAATCAAATTCACTCTTCTAGTAGAAATAAGTCATTAGTATCAGTGCCTTGGGCCCCAGGTATCAGCTAGTTAGCCTTTATTATGGATTTCAGCAATACTGTAAATAAATTACTGATGTAACTTACGTATTTAATGTTTTTAACAAAAATTAGAAAACATAAGGCAAGTCTTTTTATCTATAGTCCAGGCAATAAGTTAAAAAACGTGTTAATACTTGTTCCCCATCCTAAAAATATGTGCTATAGCTCATTCGGATTGATGTGTAGATAAAGGTATCTTGAGCATTTACTAGCACATAACAAAAAAAAATATATATTTTAATTAGTTAATTAACAATCGTATAACTTTTTGAAAAATCGCGGGATTTTATTCTTTCAAGTGTTGGATGTCAGATGACACCATCATATTTTCAAATTATGTTATAAATATACATACAGATACAAGGTGTAAGATTGCAGATTCAGATTTTCAGATTTCAGATTCAGACCATGATTCTGATTCCATAAATGATTGGAATTTTCTGCCGAAAAATTCATTTTTTTTTAAATTCCATTTTTCTAGTTAAAAATGATCAAATCGTATAACTTTTTGAAAAATCGTGGGATTTTATTCTTTCGAGTGTTCGTATGACACCATCATTTTTTCAAATTATATCATAAATATTCATTTTATTTATTTATTTTCTAACAATATCTTTACAGAATTTTTCGAATGCGATATTGTTTTACATTTACATTTTTTACATTATTTAAATTTAAGCTAAACTAACTAAACATATTTCTATCTATTTATATATATATATATATATATATATACTATATATATATATATGTCGGAGAAACATTATTCTCGTTGACTTCGTCATTCGTGGTTGCGGGCTTAGTGGGCTTCATTAGGGTAAAATGCGAGCACAAAACAATGATCACAATTTCTTACAATTTTAATTGAAATTGATAATTTTGTTTAATCAATAATTTCCATCGAAAAATCGACACTTAAGACCGAGCAGCGGGCTCAGGGCACCCCTCTTACTTTAATCCGAATAAACTCTCCAAGATCCAACTCAATCAGTCGCTGTCACTCAAATGTGTCCCAAAAACTGTCAGCCCTCCTAAAGTAAAGTAGGCGCCTCGACCCCGCTCGAGACATGTGTTCTGCTCTGATTGGTCATTCCGTGGATAACAATATTCCTAACTTTTATTACATTAGTAAGGTTTTAAGTTATAGAACAATATACAAAATATGTTACAAATCAAATAAAATAAAATAAAGAATTTTAAAGGTAATTAAAAATGTAAACAAATCAACAATCAGCAATCACATCAAACAACAACCAACCGGACTCCTAGCTTCCTCCGACATTAATATATATATATATATATATATATATATATATATATATATAATATTTACATATAAAAATATATTAAATATATTTAAATATGTATATATATATATATATAAATATTATAAAATATTTTTTTGTGTGAAATACCTACTGTCTCAAGCATCGTTGCGCTCATGCCGTAACGGCCGCGCGGAGACCTACTTTCGTTGAATGAAAATTTTAAACAATGGAGGTAAACTTCCGGGGGTCCGGACTTTCTTATTAAAACTTTCCTTCATGGTACATAACATGTAAGTATCCATAGAAAAACCGCTTAATTGAGGGCCATACAGGGCATACGACGCTGGGGTGGACTCAGTTAAGCGGTTTAACTATAGGCATTACTTAAACTTTATTTACTTTATTTTAGAAAAGAACTTTTATTAAGAATCAAAGCTTTGTATAGCAACTTCAGAAGTAGTGTATTAATAATAATAATATTTCTTTAATAATATTAGAATTAAGTCTTTCTTTTACTAGTTCGTAAAAACGTTAATAAAATGCGGTGTATTATCGATCACAATTTATTATTATATTGGTAGTTTTATTAGGTACTTTAACATATAATATTTATTAACGCAGCAGGTAAGTGGAGTAAGGGGCAGCATAGGGATAAGCGGAGTAGGCAGCAATTGGAGCAGAGTAGGCGGAGTAGGCGAGCGGCGCTGTGTAGGCGGCCGCGACTGGCGCGGTGTACGCAGCTGCTACAGGCGCTGTGTATGCGCTGTAGAAGACACCTGGCTTGGGCTTGGGATCAGCAGCCACCAGTGTCAACACACAAGCAAGTAAGAACTGCAAAAGAAAAAAAAACAATTCAATTACATACATGTTATAATAAAGATATAAAAATATAATTAGAGATCCATTTATTTAAAAAATACTTACGAATTTGAACATGTTTGGGTAGTGTTATCACAGTACAGCTGTTAAACCGAATGATATAAAGAGGAAGAAATTGACCGACTTTATAGTGTTACCGAAGGACAGTGTACGATGTTAGGTAAAGCGCAGGTCACTATACCAAGACATGTTGAATATCAATTGAGTCTACAAGAGTCACACTAAGAGTTTTAATCATTTAAATTGTAAAACTTTTAGAGTTCTAAATTTAAGGTTATAAATCCGGACAAGTGTGAGTCGGACTCGCCCACCGAGGATTCCATACAAATCTGTAGGTATTAGGTACTACTACGGATCTCCAGAAGTCGCCGATGCGTTCCTGGGGCTCCTCCCGACTGCCGAGGTAGGCCGCCGAGGGGTTTAGTGGGTAGACCGGTTCTCCGGGAGTCCCACACATGCCCTACGTTTCCCCAACGGAGGGTATGGCGCGAAAAGCATTCCCCGCGTGAAAAAAAAAAAAAGGTACTTCTACGGATGGGAGGTAAATAAAATGTGTAGCGAGACCATATGTTTGTTTAGACTTTTAGTTGTTTTCTTTCAAGTCATTCAGGTGTACTGATGATGGAAGGTAAAACTCCTTAACGGTGAGGAGTTAGATGATAATTTAAGGTGCCAACATATCAACCTGTAATGTAGGAAAGGAAAGAAAAGACATGTAAAGCTGAGGGTTTGGATTAGCAACCTGCACCACATACTAAGCTTGTCTTAGTGTTCTAATTTATATATTTACAATTGCTTACTCTTAATCGTTGCTTTTTCTGGCACTGTGAGGTTCCAATTCTCCAATAGCAACACAATTATTTTGCCATTTTCACGCGACTTAGCGTTAATGAACGGGGTTAGTATCTATACATATATAAATTATAAAAGTATATAAAAATGTTAAGTTGTTTTGTATGCGCTTTAAAATCTCAAAAAACTCTGCACCGATTGAGTTCACACTTTGACACGATACACAACAAGCTTCAATCAAGCTTTTTGCTACCACAATGTGCCACAGCGAAGCATGGCAGGGTATAGCAAGGATTTTTATAAAAACTGAATCGGGTAACTTGCCTGATTCTACTTGATCACGGTGAAGGGCAGGCCATTTAAATTAGGATAAGATGCTTGGACCAGGCCCTTTGGTAACAGAAATGTTGCATCTCAACATACCTCTGGAGCCTATGCCAAATTTCACAACGTGCATCAAACCACCACAGTTATTCACAACAGCAGGAATAACATTTGAAGGTGGTCGTTTTCCGTAGGTTGCTACCTCTTCTTCAAACCACTACGTACCTATGAACATTTACAATATAAAGGGAAAATAAACAATTTCACAAATAAAATGGAACCAATTAAAAAAAAAACATCAAACAAAAACTCCCTAACTAAAAACACTAGACAGCGAAAAATGAACTGAATTATGTAATATTTAATTAAAAAATGTGCGACTTTTTCTAACAAATTAAATCAAAAACTATAACTTACCTATTCTCAATAAAATTCTTAATGAAAATATAATAAAGTATATAAGATAAATCTCAAAGCGAAAGGAACTTCGTTCCGACCGAAGGTACATAGACTCACGCCGTTTTTTATTATATTATATTATTTACATTTATATAGATTTTTTATTTAATATTTTTTTTATTTAACAAATTAATATTTTTTCTTTTCCTCAAATACTCGTAGTAATTTAACATCAGCTTACTACATAAATGGTAAGTAAGTGTAATATTTATGTATGTATGTCAATTTATATTTAGCCTATTTTTTCATAATTCTTAAAAAGATATTATCTGTTATTACTAACAAATGTTTATAAAAATAAGTATATCATTGGTACCGATAATATGTACCGATAATATGTACCGATAATATACTTAATTCAAATAAGTCTGTACAGGCAGAGTGATAATATTAGTAAACTTCAACAAGTTTTTAATTATTTAGTATAAATCTTACGCTTTCAGTTTAACAGGCCATATCTTTAGCTATATTTTTAGAAGTATAGTGTATTACAATGTTGATAAATTCATACATGCACGCAAGAATATGTGAAAAAATATGCTAATTTGCATCGGTATGCAAGCTGAGCTCGACTAGACTTGGTTTTCACATAGACAGCTTATCCATGAAAAACATCAATCACGACAATATTGAACTGGTAAAGTATAAGTAAGCATAAGTCTATGATCATGGTTTTCGAGGCCGTGCGCAGATTATAACGAAATATTTCTCCTCTTCGACTAAATTGCAAAATATTAGATAGAGTGTATAAATTTAATTATTTCGGTCACATCATATTAACCCCCGACCTTACTGATAACCTTGACATTAAACAAGAAAGGACAGCATGGTCCATTAGAGCAAATATAATGGTCCGCAGGTTTGCATATTGTTCACTAGGTGTAAAACTCACGCTCTTTCTAGCCTACTGTACATCTTTTAACACGTGCCATCTGTGGGCTAGGGATAGTCCAAGATCGTATAAAACTCTTCGTGTTCAATACAGCGATATCTTTAGGGTTAGAGGGTCTGAATCACTTCTGTGGTGTATCAGGTATGTTCATGGATGCAAAAGTAGCACATGATTTCAAGTATAAGCATACTTTTTCATTTAAAAAAGATAACTTCCGCACTAGTAAAGTATCCAGTGCTGCGGAAGATTTTACGCACACACATGAAACGGACACAAAAATCGATCGCAAAAATATCACACAAAGAGTTGTTCCATGTGGGGATCTAACCCTCAACATGAAGTAGAAAGCGGCAAGGTGACCGCTTAAACCACTATCAATAAACTGACAAAACATTGTGCGCCATGGGGTGTAGCAGCGGCGGGATATGTGTGCAGTCTATACAATCTATCTACTTATTTAATCTAAGCCAGCCATTAATTGAATACTTTGTGAAATTCTAAGCTTTGTTTTACTACTTCGAGTCACATAAATAAAATACAATTTCATATTCATAATTGTTTATTATCTCATAAATAATTTAGTTTCGAAGGTAAGGTCATTAACGGAGCAGGTAGGCTGATAATGGTGAAGCATAGGTATAAGCGGAGAAGGCGGCGACTGGAGCGGTGTAAGCGGAGTAAGCGAGCGGCGCTGTGTAGACGGCCGCAACGGGTGCGGTGTACGCCGCTGCCACGGGAGCTGTGTATGCGCTGTAGCCCGGCTTGATCTTAGGATCAGCGGCCACCAACGCCATCATAAAAGCGAGCACTAACTAGAAAGAAAAACATTTTATTATCGTTCTTACTCTTCTTATTACTCATGGATCTGTATACACACTTTAAGAGAAAAATACTTACAAAGAACGATGGCAGAAACATATTTACCTAAAACTTAAACGTTTAAAAAATCGAATCACAATAAACTTAATCAATATTTTTTTATGACTTATCATTACACCACCATGTGTTGTATAAGTCTTATAAGAGATAGGATATTTTTGAAGATTTTATTTGACCTAAGTACGTAATGTCAGATTCGCTATCACGTATAACTGACTAGGGATGCGTGGTGGCAATATTATATTATGAAATGTTTTATCAATATCAATTGTAATAGCTTTGGCTGAAATATCTACCGAAGGTTCACCCATTATGATCATGAATTTGCTTCTACCCACGGCTTCACTCGTACGGTAGAGTGACTGAACCAACATAATGAGCAATAATTTAGAATATTTTTGACTCTCTTTAAACGTTTTTAAAACACTAAAGAAATAGAATATAGTTACGTTATTTTCCGACGTAAAAAAATATACACTACACAGTGTGATGAGAAAAATACATTGTCATTGATAACGGCACATAAATAGACATATATCGATATTTTCAAAATGTCGATACGTCGTCGTTTAGATCCTGTCAAGTTGCGGACCCCGTTTGTTATTTATTTTTGTTTAAGTTAGTGTTAAACTCGCATAGATATTATGCTTTTCTATTTGTTATTGCATATATTGTAATAATAATGAAAATAATATTTTCGGCTATCTGACACACAACGCCATCTAGTTTTAAACAAAACATTAACAATATGTTACTTAACCTCGAAACATTCAAAATCTAATATCTTTTTTCCTAGACTACTTTCGCTAGTAATTTTGGTATGAGAATGGTCAAGAATAAATTCTCAAGTGTTAAGGATTTTTTGATATTTAAACGCTATCATTTCAGTACAAACAAAATTATGTATGGGGACTTGCCATTGTCCTTTGAAAATGTTTGGTGGTTATTACAGTACAGCTATTAAACTGAATGATATCAAAGTTGTAGCATCGTCTTTACAGTGTAGCTAGAAGGAATGTGTGCAATGTGAGTTAAAGCACAGGTTACTAGAGTGTAGCACGTTGAATACAAATTATTTTTGTAAGAACAGCGAAAATGTTTAACTCTTTGCACACATTGACCTGCTCCACAAATTATGAATATCATTATAATGACTATCTCCCATTATTCGATTCTAACTTCTAACTAAATAATTGTCATTTGTTCTCTTTGTTGTTCTGTTTGTTTTATTACTGAGTCTGGGTATAATTTATCTACAAAATGTATGTATATAAGTATTTTTACCAGGAGTCTGTTTACCATAGCACAGGCACTATCTGGTTTGGGACGAGACTGCCATGTGTGAGATATGAACTTATTTTTAGTATTATTATAATTGCACTATAGATGAAAATATTGTGAAATGCACTAAGACTAATGACCGGATAATAGGAAACCAATTCTCAAAAAGACGAAATTAATTTTCAGGTGATTAAACCCTCCCAAAAGGAAAAATGTAAAATAGGCTGTCAGTGCTTATGATCAGGCCCAAAAATGATAAAGCATGGCTCCCTACGGCTACTTAAGGACTAATTAAGAAAAATTCTAATCTCTATCCGATCTCACTCTAATTCATAAAAAGTTAAATATTTTTCATTAATTTTCAAAAAAATTATGTTCAAAAAGAACGTTAACATTTTCGGTTTGCACGCAATAATAATAACATATAACTTAGTTTTTAACCGACTTCAAAAAAAGGAGGAGGTTCTCAATTCGACTGCATTTTTTTTTTTTTTTTTTTTTTGTATATTTGTTACGCGATTACTCCGGCAATTATAAACCGATTTGAATAATTCTTTTTTTATTTGATAGGTCATACGTCAGAGGTGGTCCCATTGTCACCAGGTCAGGATCTGATGATGGGATCCTGGGGAAATCGAGGGAAACCCTCAAATTTTGTAGACATATACACTGTTTATCAGAAATTATCTTAATCTATGTAGATTTTTGCATCTAATGGTCACCATCTGATGTTGCTGAGCTGATGATGAAGCTGATGATGAATGGTTTAGGAGTATGGGATCTCTGTAACAAAATTATGTAATACCATCGAATTTGAATGTGTTTGAGTCTAATTAATAAGGACTCCGATCCTATGTGATATTCAGGGTCTGATGATGGAGACGGTAAATAGCCATGGGAACTCTGTAATAAAATAAAGCAATTCCGCCGTGTTTGTGCTCATTTGATTCGTCTCGACTAGGAGCTTCATGCTAGTCGATTTTTAACCAACATCAAAAAAGGAGGGTTTTTGATTCGACAGTATGTTTTCTTTTTGTATGTTTGATACGCGATCATTCCGCCAATTTTGACAATCCTACATTATGTTTGTCCACGGCACCTTTTTTTTTTTTTTTTTTTTTTTTTTTTTGTTGACGGGGTGGAAAATCCCTTCGGATCTCCGGCTCCTCGGCCCGACGGCCGACGGCCGAAAACCACCCCGACGGCCGGCCTTAGGTGTCCTACTCTGGGGAGGACCCGGACCATGTTATCTCAGGTCACCATGGGGACCAGGGGAGAACACTTCCCCCTTCAATCGCGGCATGGCGGCCCGATCGCATCTTAATGCAATCAGGCCGGCCATTCCATCCCCTACCGCAGCAATCAATCTGCCACCAGAGGTCCCCACTCTCTGGCGGCCTTGTCCACGGCACCTAGGATACACGGATACGATAAACATTTTTAGAGTTGGGCTTTATGACCTTAAAAATCACACTTACTTCCCACAAAAAATTAAAAAATAAAATTATTTAAAAAAAAAATTGAAAACTTCAAACAACTAAAAAGCAATTTTAATTACTTACTTCAAACATTCAACAAAATTATTGATACTTAGAAAACCTACCTATTTACAATTTTTAATCAGTTATTTTTCAACAAACCAACAAATAAAAAAAATACGCGATTACTCCGCCAATTATGAACCGATTTGAATAATAATTATTAAAGAAAACTAGGTACCTAATTGTTGGAAAGATCACGCAAGCGTGTCATTTCTGTTAATGATTTTTCGTCGTGGGGTCGATTTAATAGCTTATTTGCATCCAAATCAGATATGGCAATGCCATTTAAGGTTTTGACGCGACTGAGGGCTACATAAATCTGTCCTTTAGCGAAATTCTTCTTTCCTAAATCGATCACTGCTTTATCAAGGGTTGTACCCTGAAGTTTGTGAACGGTTACTGCCCAGCTTAAGATGAGCGGTAACATTCTTCGTTCGACATCTCCATATCCTCTTTGCGCTTGAAATGTTGTACAAGCAGGTGAGATTGCTACACAACCGTCATTATCTTTTGTTCTATGGCCAACAGTCGCGTCATCAAATTTTATAAGCACAGATTCAGGCAACTCGCCTTCCTCCAATTGATCTCTTCGGAGAGCAGGCCATTTAATTTTCTTAACAATGTCCATGGCACCATTCACGAGCCCATCAGATACGGAAATATTCCGCCTTAACATGACTCGCGATTCGATACTCAACTTTATAGTTGGCAAGAAACCACCGCAGTTATTAATGTCTTTAGGAATAACATTTTCTGGTGGCTTCCTACCATAGGTTGCCGCCTCTCGAGACTCATCTACAGCATTTATTGTGTACATGCGGTGCGCTTTCGCATTTTCAACGGTCATTCTTTCATTATATGTATCCACTTGTCTAACAGTAGGGAATATACGGACAGCAACCCCATCAGCAAAATCTCCTGACAAAGGCACGTGTCGCCGCTCACAAAGTAACTCCAACTGAGATGTCGTTAATTCACCAACCCGCAAGCTATTTAAGAGGTCTATGAACTCAATGTCATTTCGTTGTCGCATATTTATCGTAAGTTCACAAAATGAGAACTGCTGCCATAAGTTAACTTCGCCGGAAAACCATGGCGGTTGAATAAAACACCAATGCCCTTTTACCGGTGGGAGTTGAAGTATATCACCAAAAAGCAATATTTGCACCCCGCCGAATAATTTGTCATTATTTTTGTATTCTTGGAGACGCAGGTGTATAATTCGCAAATTTTCATATGACACCATTGAAATTTCATCTATGATTAACCAGTTTATATGGCGCCATTTACGTCTCTCATTCTCTAGCTTTTGTCCAGTAATTTTTTTGTACGTCATAGTATTTCCTTTTTCAATTGGAAGTGAGAATATTGAGTGCAATGTTTTTCCAAATATTTGACGTGCGGCTACACCTGTTAGGGATCCCACCTCAACAAATTTAGCCTTGAGCAATACGTCAACTGTTGGTGCATAACACCGTTTGATATGTTCCACGAGTAATTTCAAGACGAAAGACTTTCCACTTCCTGCACCGCCAGTGATGAATAACAATAATTGACCTTCTTGTCCCTGCAAATCCATTTCTACAGCCGCAGAAACTTTTTGGAAAAGGTCTCTCTGTTGGACGTTTAGACTTCGAATATTACCCAAGAAGACTTCATCTGGCATAGCAGACCTTTCGCATACATCTTCACAATAATTGTCATCGTTATTCACGATTTGTTCACCGCCACAAATCAAAGGAGCATCAACATCGTGAGTGTTACGGGCAGCGTTGAGCGCGACTGCTTGGGCAAGGGCCTGTTGTATCATTTGTTCTGCGTGAGCAAACTCTTCTGCGCTTACGTTGCCATGTAATGGTCGGAATTCTCTTTGCCGCCTAATAAAACACTCCTCAGCGGTTTCCTCTTCGAGTAGAAGTTCACTTTCATCACGAAATGGTACATGACATACTAACAAGCTGTAGTAATAGGCTTCCTTGTCGCTGTTCAATGTAAAGTATCGTGTGCGCAATACTGCAGACTTGTTTCTTATACGCATCCGCGTGTTATCTCTTAGCCGTATAAATCTTGCCGGCGTAACATCTTCACTCCTTAATTCTTCATCACCATCGTCTTCGTTCCATATTAAGTTAGACACCGTTTCAAAGCGCACAGCGAATTCGGCGAGACTTAAGTCTTCTAGTTCATCTGGGCGTAATACATATCGATCAAAAATGT